TAATACTTCCCGTAAATTATTCTCTGACACAGTCATACATCTTTTCTTAGTCAACAAACACAAAATGAACTTAACCCATCGCCGTTAATTTATCCTTTCCCTGGTTAATAACAAATGGATGATCCTTAGCCAATCCCACAACCCTAACAGTCAGCCTAAAATTAAACTTCATTTTCTCATAATCTCTCTCTAAAAAATCTCTTAACACTCTACAATATACTAAATGTTTTCAGAAATAGTCATTCCTCTATAATTTCCACATTAATCGTTTTCTCCCTGTAAGTGTATAACTATTTTTTCTATCTCTCAATCTTCTGGGATATCTTCAACATTTCAATATCTCACCAACAGTATTTTTATCAACTGAACTAATTTATTTGTTTTGTATTTAATTAACTAACTGTTTATTCCATCTTCGAAAATCTTGTGTTTCATTCTTTTACTTCCTATATTATTTTTCATTTCTTCGCCAGAGAAAAAAATTAACGTAGTGCCTCTAGTGGACTATTATTTTAGACGTAAACCTCCCTTGCAAAATGCATATTTTGAATAATGCAACGTTTCAGATTTTTTGGACAATTCTTTTGTAGTAACCAATTCTGTTCGCAACCATATTTGTATCAAAACCTTTCCTATGTATAAAAAAATGCTCCCCTCATGTAACAATTCAACATATTCTTGATATTTTGGTATGGCTTCCACGTGATTTCACAAGAAGATCTCCAATTCGGATGTATAAAAGGAATACAAATTCTCAAATTAACCAATTAATTGACACTTCTACCATAACATGGACCTTGGAATGTTCTCACATTTTTATATTCAAATTATTCATTGGTCTTATGATTACAGAAGCTATAGATCTGAGTTGTAATACATATTTATGCTACGTAAAAGTATGCATATCTTTATTTTGAATAAACCGATTTTGAACGAACACTGATTACATATACTATTCACAATTATTTCATCATTACCATTAATACGCATGTTCTCTATACAGACCTATACTTTCATCTCTATTTTTCTTACTAGTTCTACAATTAAAATACCCGATCATTAAAAAATATTTGACCATCCAACATTATCTAAAAGAATGTTAAGTGATTCATAAACTGTGTACCTTTGGATATTATATAAGTATCTTCACTTCCTTCATTAATTCAAATAATGACAATCATCACTTTAAATGAATCAATATTTATTTTTAGCAAATCTTCATTGACTTCTTCCCTATGCATGATATATTTCTTTAATTGTTTCTTCATTAATAATTAGTGATGGTATAGAATGGAACAGAATTTCCCTTATTAGTTTTCAATTTCCTTTGGTCTCGGCTAGCTATTCAAACTTGGCGCATACTCTTGCCAGTTGCCATCTATCGCCACACGAAGTACATTTTTATTAGTTTTTTTAACATTTAAGTTTCCTATTAGTAGAACGGAAATATTATTTTAAGCATATTAAAGAACAGTAAAATCTCGTCGTAAATAGCAGTTTTCTTTGAAAAATTTGCAACAGTTTTTAAGAAAAAAGGCATTTAAGTACCACGGTAAATTTGAAGCTTTTTCACAGATAATTGTTAAGAATTCGAAAAAATTTATTTTAAGTCATTTGAAGCGCATTTACTCACATATACAATAGTACTTACAAATTTCTTGGAATGTGCATTATAACGGTATGAGAGATCTTTCAAAAAAATAAAATTTGGTTAATTAAAAAAAACAAAAAACAAGAATACCCCGAAATAAACTTCGTGTCATACGAAAGAGTGCGATTAGCACTATCCGTTCGCAGAGTCTGAAGAAAAAATTTGAAGGCGTTTTAGAGAAAATGGCGTTTGAATGTTTCTGAAAAGGCGGAATTTGAGCTCATTTTCACACAAAACCTTACAGTTTTCGAGAAACTTTATATGTCATTATTTAAAGCACATGTAACACTCATAAATATAATAATTTGAACAAATTGCCGTTAATATAATATTAACGACGTGAGAGAAAAATCATTAAAGTTATATTTTTGTAATTTTGGAAAAACAAAAAGATAGAGCAAGATGGCGTTATTTCGTCTTATGGAGTGCATGTAATTTATTAAAATTGTAAATATTGCAGGCAATATTGCTCGAAAACTAATAAAATTTAAAAAAATCTGCATAACGTTAATGAAAGAACTCATTACGGTCAACAAATTTTATATGAAGGAGAAACCTCTATCTTTAATTTTGTAGTTATAGGAAGATACGGAAAAACATTCAAAATTTTGCAATTTTCAAAAATTCAGGAAGAACCGTGAAAATCATATTTATGCCTCCTTTACAAGTGTATTTTACTCTAAGAAATTTAAAGAAAAAATTTGGAGCGTTTTTTGAGAAAAGTTTTAAAATGTATGCGGGCTTAATGGAATGTACCCCACAATTGTGCAGAAAAATTTTCAAAATCGTGAAACGTCGACTCAGGAGAGGTTGACGGAGGTTTCTTCAATTTGAAAAAAATACTACAGATAGTTTAAGCGCTAGTGTTGTCCACATACATCATACAGAAGGACGTTTTGAAAAAAACACTTTTTAAGAATCAGGGGATCCCCAAAACGTGTATTTCCGTTGAAATCTCGAAAGCGATTTTCGGTATCATTACATAACTTTCCGAATATTACGCGTCCGTATGTACGTACGTATACAGGAAAGTAAAAACGCGTTACTCTTTTCTCTTCTTGTTTCTCGTATTACAGTATTTTATTATTCTCATCCCTAATAATATTAAATAATTGTCTAGATCAAGAAAAATGATGCTGAACAAACCACAGAAAATAGTTTTTTGAAAATTAGCATGCTTGCGAGAGCATCAAATAAAATTCTCTCATTTACCCCTGGCACTGAATTTGAGAATTAAGACGTTTCTAGAGCTATGAGAATTGGTGGAATAACAACTAAATATTTCCATTTTCAGTCAAAATCGAATTTCCCCCCCGTGTTTTTAGGTGAGCAACGAAACCATAGTGACCTCTCTATAGTGGAGGCTGCAATTATCTTTCATTTTCTGCGCGCATTGAAGATAAGTAATTTTTATAATGAATTTAATATATTTTCTAGTATTTTTAAAGAATTATTGTAATATATTTTCTGACATTATTTTGTGAGATAGAAATAACGCGAAATATGTGCGAAAATATTTCCACTTTGTTTTAACATGAATACAGACACACGCTGTTTAAGAGCCACGTCTTTCTCTTGAACGTCGAATATTTTACTCAAGGGATTGAAAGATTGTTTGTGGTGTTCTACTACGAGAAGCACAAGTATCTTCCTAATAAATGGAAGTATTCATGAAGCAAACTTAGGTGATGAACACGTAAGATATTTTTAAAGGTCCGAGTAGTGACGTCTTACTCAGACTCGAGGATACTGCACTTTCCAAATACCGATTAATATTGATAGAAATGTCAATTCTAATGGCGTGTTGAAAAGTGCGGATAAAGTGAACGCGCTCTGTTGGAATTTTGATGAGTGATTTCTTACATCTTGTGTGATGAAAGAAACTTACATACGAGAGGTAATGAAAAATACTTTAAGAACTGTGTCAAACTTTCCATAGCTTGCGTATTTTTCAGACTAGTAGTGAACGTTAATTCTGGACGACAGAAAAAAGGAGGAAAAAGACAGGGGGATTGAATGAATGAAAACTCAGATCACCGGGAAATATACAAGAAGAGGGTGTGCGTGTGGGTGTGGATGGGTTGGTGGGTTTGTGTTAACGTACGTTAAGGAATGAAAGACATTAGCTTTTCTGAGTTTTTGACGTATCTTCGAAACATAATGAATCTTGGGTATTCCCCCAGTTATAAAGTTGAAAATATTCACTTTTAGCTACTCTTATTTCCAAGTTTAAGTTAATATTAATTCAAAACATCTCTTCCCTCTTTCCCTCTCCCTCACACACACACTTCTAGTTTCATAACAAAAGATAAAATTTGTCAACATATTATTTATTTATACAAGACATTTATGACAACTTCGAGGGATTAAATCTGCTTTTATGGAAGGAAACAATTATCCATTTCAATAACAAAATGTTTTATAATATGATTATTCAACAATTACTATCTATTGAAATTAAAAATGTTAAACTGTGAAAATATTAAACACTTGCGACTGAAGTTAAATACGTGATGTAAAAAATGTTCAGTCTTTTTCAGACGAGGTAAATGAAAAGTTTAGGTTGGGAAAGAATAGGTGGTTCAACTTCAGCGCAAACGCTATATTCAACTATCACGTGTCTAGCTGAACATGAGTTGACATGAGGAATGTTATAAGTACCAAAAGAGAGTTTTGAAACAAAATTAGAAAAACTGTTGTCCAGTGAACTTTAGGTTTCAAAAGGACAGTCAGATGCATACATGTGCATTCAGATAACAGCGAAGAGAAAACTTGATGTATGGTTAAATTTCTTACTATTGCATGGGCAAATGGACGCACATTTCTTCCACGTAAAACGTTTTTTAAAAATTGGCACCTATACCCTTTTTCATGTTCGCCCTTAAACCGTATAAATCTACCTATTTCGGATGTATTTAATGCATGCGTATAAAGAGTTTGTTCCAACCATTTTATGTGAATGTGAGACTTAAAATCTCCATATCAGTCCCGAAGTTTATATTAACCATTTCTTCCAAATATGAAACAGGCCTAATCCACGGCAAGGCTCAAACTCAGTGAGAAAAGCGATTTAAAGCAACGTAATGTTTGATTTGACAAATTGCGAACCCGGACAGGGAGACACAAATCACACCCGATGATAAATGCATCTGGCTCCTTGATGGGGCATTTTGGTCCGAACTCCCCGGGGGCTTCATGGCCTGAGGGCGTCATTTCCATTGGGCACGCGCAGGCGTGTTGCTGGCGCGCGTGACGCGATTGCTTTGCAGCTACGCAGTTCACTCAACGCAATAGGAGTATGGCTTGTGCGTTAGGATTACGTGCAGTGTTAGTATTATGTTCAGTTACGCTATTTGTATGCAAATACTAAAAATATGCGAAATAAGGTAGAATTGCAAGGCCTAAATACTGTCCAGTTACACACGTGATAGTTGATGTGTGCGTTTGCGACACAGTCAAAGCCCTTCCACAAAGATATAGATTTATATCTTTCCACTTGCCTTCTCCACGTAACATAACTACCTTTAACGAGTGAAGATTCAATGTATCTGACATCGAGAAGGCGATTACATAATTTCCTACTGGGGAAGGAGACATCGGTTTGATACTATGGAAACGGACAAAACATAGAGACGAACGAAATCAACAACCAGAAAGGAGGTATGCGTCTCGCTGAATGGACGAAGGTTGGACGTCTGGAAAGATAGACTTCGTTTTGGAATATGGAAGAAAATTAAACATTTGGAGTACAGACGCGGGATATACATGCTGGAATGTAGACGAGAGTTGAAAGTTTCGGAGTATAGACGAATGTTAGAAATACTGGAGTATAAGCGAGAAGATATGTCTTGAAGTATAATCGGAATGTGGACATGTTGAAAGAACTTTAAGCATTGTGTCTATTTTAGTTAAAAATTGTTGAACTTCCACAATTGAATGAATCCCCACATGGTCCCTCACAATTTCAACAGCAAACAGTGCATTTGATCCTCTATAGAATGAAATGATAAATTCAAATAGGTTTAGTTCCCAGAAGAGATGAACCCCCCTAAAAATGCCCTAGAAGAGGTGCAAAAACGTT